CTCTGAGCCCTCGGGCACTCCGCGCTCCGGCAGAGGCATGGTGAAGATGCTTTTCAGCGAGCCAAAGATCATCTTGCTACTGTTGTCCAGCAACTGGTGCTTGATGTCGTGCACGTTGAACTTCTTCACCCGCCCATTGAGATCCTGCTCCAGAATGACGTTCGTCTGTCGTTTGGTTTTCTTCAAACAGCTCGACTTGGGCTTTTTCTCCTTGTTCCAAACTGACTTGATCTTGGGACTATCGGCATCGCCGATATTAGGCTCTGAGTAGTAACAGTTTTCACCTGGTTTGTAAGGGATAACTGATAAGTATTTATCATGCATTTAAACTACATTATCTTACCGATTAGATTGTTGTTGGCGTTGCTCATGCCAATGCAATCGCAGGAGCTGCTCTTGGCCTGCTCGTACTGCTTGCGATTGGCATTGGAGTTCTTGTCCTGCTCGTCGGAGTCCAGACTGGAGTTGGAGCTGCTGCAGTTACACTTGTAGAGCCGCGCTGGTTCCTCCTGCTTCTCGCCCGCTGGACCATATTCGAAGACACCTGAGGTGTCGTAGTGCAGACCGGGCGCCTCATCGGTGTCGAAAATGTTGTCGTAGTCCAGGACATCGGAGCAGGCATTCCGGTACACCAGATGTCTCTTACGCCTGGCACCTCCGCCGCCCGTAGCCTCCTCGCCATCGTCTTCCCGGCCAGCGGCACAGATTTCATTCGGTCCCTCTGGCCGTTCCCGATCCGGACACCAGGAATATCGTCCCGGAGCGCCGGCCACGCCCGCTGAGTTGGCGAAAGCCAGCTTCCGACCGTTCTTGTAGGTGATAAAGCCATGCTCTATGTGAATGTTGTCGGTACGAGTATTCTTTAGGATGTCCTCGTGGAAGGACACTCGCTTCTTGGGGGTTTTGGAGGCGGACGAAGCCTTATGCACCTTGCGTCGGTACACGATCTTCTCCGTGGTGTCGAACGTGGAGCACTCGCTGATGGTCATGGACTCCTCGGGAGCTGCTGTCACATTGGAGTTGGGATCCACTTGGGGCAGGGGCCGCACGTTCTCTTCGTAGGAGCAGATGGACTCCACCATCACATCGCTGTTCTCCGAGTCTAGGAGTTGAACTCCCGAATCGCTGGGCGTGGTGTCCTCCATGGTGCTGCTGTTCAGGCTGGAGCTCATCTTGTCCATGCCCATATTGTTGTTGGCCTTGGGAAACAGCGGGGACTCCATGGTGGTCGCTTTTCCGATTTTCGCACTTGTCAAGAGAGTTTTCTGCGCAGTGGCTTTTTCCAAATGTTGTTAACCTTTGGAAAATTTCAAAATTCGTTTAACCATTATTTGTGTATCTCGGCGTTCTTGCTATTAATCAATATCCACAAGTTGCACAATGCGCCGCAGCGAAATCGCGTCACTGCACAAAGGAAAATGACCCCTGACCCCCACCACCCCGTGTAAAATAGCACCGGGATTGATTTACAATCTTTGGATTTCGTCACTCACCTGCGATTGTATCGCAGGAATCCATGTTACTTTGGGTCAGGGTGGTTTGTTTTTGCTTTCCCTCTTGTATTTTCGTTTTTATTTATAGGTATTTCGCCACTTGTACATTTTTGAATTGCCAAAAAAAAACCCTTGGCAAGTGAAACAATCAATATTTTGACCTCCCAGAGTTGCCAACTCTGCGAACAGCTGATTGCGCGCCAGCGCTGCCAGACCTGAAATGTAGTTGGCAACGCCAACCGTTTCAAAAGGGTCAAGTTCCGGTTTTCAAATATTAACCAGTTTCGGATTTAAATAGTTTACCTAAATAATTTTAAGGTGTTGTCAAATGTTCAACACAAATTATTAGAGTTTGGTTTTAGTGTAAGAAAAAGTATGGTTAAACAGTTTTTTTTTAATTTAAGGTAGGTGATTTTAAACTTGATAACAAAACCGGAACACTTTTAGAAAAACTAGAATCTTTGGTGAAAGGGAACGCCGGAACTCATCCGATAAAACAGTTTTTTGCCATCGCTCGTTGGCGGCTATATTCGTTATTTCGCGGAGACAAGTTGATTTTCATAATTCACAGATATTATTCGCAAATACAGAGTGCTCATTCAAATTAATGCCCTTGTCAGTCGGTACGCACATCATTTCCTCTTGCCGTTTCACTGGCCGGGGTCAGTTGTCAATTTGAAAAGTAGTGTAGGCGAATGCCAATGAAAGCGAATGAAACCTTAGAAATTAATTTATCACACTTTGCAGCACATCACAATCGTCGCGATAACTCTGCCGTTTCGTTTGTTTATTGGTTTTTGCAGAGGGACGAGTAAAATATAATTCCCCGCACAGCACCATTGTTAAGTAATCCTCTCCAGAATTCAGTTCCAATTTCAAAAGCACCCAGAGATGAGCCACGTGAAATGACATGGGCTGCGGGAGCAATGTGTCCCAGAGGAATAATACTAAAGCCGAAGGTAGTGTGCTCATAATGCAAAGGCCAACTAGCAAATTGGTAGAATTCAGGTTCCTCATTGCGGTGGCAATATATTTGCACGCGCTGGAGCAATCGATCCAGCAGTGCCATTGTGTTCATGGTTTCAGGTGGGTGCCAGTGCGTTTGCCCAGTTTCATCAGATTTTACAAGGCTGTTCCACACTTGCAGAAACAACACGGAGAGCGCCGAGCTGGTCTCCCACTACGAGTCGAGTTTGTCGCTCCCGGACATCCTGCCCATTCCCTCCAAGACCTACGACAAGAACCGGGCTCCCAAACTCCTGGGCCAGCCCACAGTCGTCTACTTCCATGTCACGGTCCTCTCGCTGGACTCCATCAACGAGGAGTCCATGGTGAGTCATAATCCCAATTTGAGTCTCACGCCATATAATCCCCAATGGATAAATTACTATTTAATGCAATGTTATTAAATCATCCAATAATGGTATAGAACCCAAGAATATTGAAGACTTACAAAGATTAGAATTTTAAAAATCTATTTATAATAATTAAAATATTTATGAACAAGTCTGGTATAACTCCATCATTACCATCCTAAGAAAAGTCGAATCTTTGATCTCCGAATCTATTTTGGCTTTCTCATAATTCTACGCTCCATTTACTGGTATATCCTTATCGCAGACCTATGTGACGGACATCTTCCTTGCACAAAGCTGGCGTGATCCTCGCCTGCGGTTGCCGGAGAACATGAGCGAACAGTATCGCATATTGGATGTCGACTGGTTGCACAGCATCTGGCGGCCCGATTGCTTCTTCAAGAACGCCAAGAAGGTCACCTTCCACGAGATGAGCATTCCGAACCACTATCTCTGGTTGTACCACGACAAAACGCTGCTCTACATGTCCAAGCTCACGTTGGTTCTGTCCTGCGCCATGAAGTTTGAGTCCTATCCACATGACACACAAATCTGCTCCATGATGATCGAGAGTTGTAGGTGGAAATGTGGAATTTTTGTTATCCCGAACCTGCCCAAACCTTTATTGCTTGAAACTTTCCATTCCGCTGCTTGAATAACACTCATTTGTATGGTAAAAGTGAGATTTGATACCAGAACTTAACGAGCTCTGATTGGCAGTATCCCATACGGTGGAGGATTTGGTTTTCATATGGAACATGACCGACCCACTGGTGGTCAATGCGGAGATTGAGCTGCCACAGCTGGACATATCAAATAACTACACGACCGATTGCACCATAGAGTACTCAACGGGTGAGAATAGATATTATTAAATCGTAAAATAGGAATTAATATTAATATTAGGTAGCTTTTATTATTATAAAAATTATTTATAATTAATCATTATAATATAATAATTAGTTGGTCCAAAAATCCCAATCGTCATTTTTTACACAAAAAAGAAGCAGTTTTTTGGCCACCATGAAGCGAAAAAGGGTCAGAATAAGGAGTGCCATACCCCGTTGAGCTCGTAATTAAATTTCCAATCGATTGGCGTTCAGGCCTGAAAACTTTAATTTTTGACGATTTTTCGCAAAAATAGATGATGTAACCCTTATGAAAAATGCAAAAATTTGTCAAAAAATAAATTTCCCGAAAAGTGACGGCGATAGTGAGCCTAGATGGTAAGCTGCTCAGAACAGTTGGTCTTTTTTCTGTACGCCTCTGTTTGACTAAATTATGACCAAAAAACAGCTACAAAAAACAATATTTTTGAGCAAAATCCCAATCCTTTTAAGTCAATATAGGGATCTGACTATTAACTATTAAATGTGTAAAGAAACTAAGTTTATTGACAACTAAAAATTTTAGTTTTAGTTTTGATTGATAGTAACAGTTGATTGAGATACAATTATTTATTTAATTTAGTTATTGTTTTTATTATTGTACCTCGTAGGCAACTTCACCTGCCTGGCCATTGTGTTCAATTTGCGACGACGCCTGGGCTACCACCTGTTCCACACCTACATACCCTCGGCTCTGATCGTGGTCATGTCGTGGATATCGTTTTGGATTAAGCCGGAGGCAATTCCAGCCCGCGTCACCCTGGGAGTGACCTCCCTGCTGACCCTGGCCACCCAGAACACCCAGTCGCAACAGTCGCTGCCGCCGGTGTCGTACGTGAAGGCCATAGACGTCTGGATGTCGTCCTGCTCGGTGTTTGTCTTCCTCTCGCTGATGGAGTTCGCGGTGGTCAACAACTTTATGGGACCGGTGGCCACCAAGGCCATGAAGGGCTACTCGGACGAGAACATCAGTGACCTGGACGACCTGAAGGTGAGTTGGAAGACGAACCTTTACACAGATATCTCCCCCGGCTGACGCCTCTCAGTCTGCCCTACAGCATCATCGGGAATCGATTATTGAGCCCCAGTACGACACTTTCTGCCATGGCCATGCCACAGCCATCTATATAGACAAGTTCTCGCGCTTTTTCTTCCCGTTTTCGTTCTTTATACTCAATATTGTCTACTGGACAACGTTCCTATGATGGATGATGGGAAAGTTTCACCGAAGGAATCGAACGTAAACAATAATAATACCAAGCGCATTTGTTTAAAAATGTATATTATCGTTTGTAAGCCACAAATAATTGCATTAAAGTATGTATTATATTGATTATCATGTAGTGTATAAATAAAGGAAAGCGTTTAATAATAGGGTTTAGTTTAGAGGAAGCAACCAAGAAATGCATTTCAATTGCGCAACAAAGGTGGAATAATCTTTGGTAAATTCACTATAAACCTATATAGTTTATAAAAAAAAATTATATCAAAAACTTGCGGGAGTGGCTTTTTCCATTCTATCGTTAATTTATCATATAGTCTGATTTTTTGTTTGTTTATATAATCACATAATTTTATAGTTTCTTTACATTCACATTTACAGATGGATTTCATTCTTTAACTAACGTTTCACTTGTTGCTTGGCATAATTGTTGCTAACGATTATGTTAATGGGTACGAGCGATTTCTCAAATCAACTAAGGAAATTCTAAAGTGATAGTTTAGCTATGATATGATGGCAGAGCCACAGATTCAAAATAATAATACATACGCAGCGAACTGGAAACATACTGATTTATCCTACAACAGAACTTTGCATCGCGCCGTACAAAACAGAACGGAAGGGAAGGTTAACCAAATTCAGGAGATGAAATAAGGATCCATTTCCGCGTCAATCTATTGTAAACATGCCTGCAACTTCTCAATCCACTCCTGTGCCAGATTTGCATTGACTGCGTAGAAATTGTAGGTGCGCTTTGATGTTTTAAGCTGAAATTGGTTGGGAAAATTTACATTTTGTATATAGTTTTTTATTTTTCATATAACTTACATCAAAAAATCCCTTCATATCTACGCGTTTGGCGCCAATTTGTGCAGGTTGTGCGGCAGTTACTGATTGCACCTCAGCCAATTCTATAAAGGTATTTAAAATATTACTAAAAAGTTATTAGAAGGGTTATTAAGTATAAGTACCAATGATGCCCTTGGGAGCGGTGTCCTCAGAGGTGTCATAGTAACGGAGTTGATGCTTTATAGAGTCTAGAACAAACCAGCGCTGTTTCCATCCTTTGAGCAAGGCGCCACGTTTGTACAGATGTCTTCGGAAATTAAAAGAAATATTTTCAATATTAATATTGCCAGCTATTATTATATTGTGAACCAAGTTAAACGTTTAGCTAGACAACTGGTTTTGTTCATGGAACTTTCCTAGATGACTTTTATATTTTAAGAAGTTCTGAAAGCTAATAACTCACCCTTCGTGCGTCCGATTTTCGGCCACGTTACTGCTAAACTGGTTGTAGAAGTGATGGCTGGAGGTGCGCGCCGTCGTGGCGGCGCTGGAAGCGATGCTGGCTGTGTCGCCTTGCGACATGTTCACATTCGGCGGCCCCACAGCTCCATCGATGGCCTTGTACTTTGTGCAGTTCTTCATAGAGTGCTCCGTGCATTTCTCGTGGTAGGAGTTACCGCAGTCCATGCACCGGTAGCCCACTGGACCCCAGAGCAGCTTGGTGCAGTGGTTGCAGTTGGTGGGCGTGGTGTAGGGATGCTTCTCGAACCGATGCGGGTGGAAGTACTTGTCCTGGTAGCCTGCCAGCCGTCCCTTCATGATAATCTCCAGCGTGGATCGTTTGTGCTGGTGCGTCTGCACATAGATGTTGCCCAGCGAGTTATTGCTAGCAACTGGCTCCACTTGTGGCACCACCAGGCTGTTCCACACCTGCAGCCACTTTTGAGGAAGATGTCCTCGCTCCGTCTCCGCTTGCTTCACCTCGCTGAGCAGGCAGACATAGGCATTGGGATTACACTTCTCCAGGTTGTCGTAGCCGGCGGTAACGACCATGCGCTTCCCCTTCATCTCAGATAGATCGATTTCGTCGTCCACAGTGGTCACTTCCAAATCGTACGGCGCTCCCTGAGCAAGCTCCTCGTTGGTGTAATAGCTCCATAGCTCCAAGGCTGCCACATTATTTTGCGGTCGCAGAATCATACTCTTGTCTCCTGAATACAGGAAATTATAAAATATGGGCGTCTTGTTATGCTGCCTTTCGATATAATCGAAGATGGAGTGGCCAATACGATTCAGCGGTGTCCTTTGGCTCCTGATATCCATGGGATACACATTGCACTCATCGTCGGATCCATTGGTCGCCATGCCACCGGTTCCAAACATACTCTTGGCATTCAGCGATCCCCGCTTGTCCTCCATTGCCGCAATGCCCGAATCCGAACGCTCAAGTTCACAGTCAAAGAGGAAGGTACGAAAGCGGCAGGACACCGAGTGATATGCCAGGAATCTTAAATAGAAGTCATTAAATTCGAAAGCCATTGGAAACTGGCGCTGCAGCTGATGAACCACATCCAGGAACTGCAGGAAGGTGGGAGCAAATGCAATATTTGTGTTTGCATGTGAGGGCTTCAGATTACTGCGATGGGCAAAACGATGGCCAAAAGCCAACCACTCCTTCTCCACGAGCACACGGAAACCATCTAGACTTCGGTAGTAGGGATCCAAGCACAGCTGGGCTATTGAACTAAGCTGGGCGGTCACATCGGACCCATCCTCCAGCGAAAGCATCACGCTGCTCTCCTGCAGGTCGATGAGATCAACCACGGCACCAGCCAATTGCATCAGTGAGGAGATCTGCTGCAACCAATCGGACTGCTCCACCATCTTGGCAAAGCTTTGGCCATCCGCTTCGTTGGTATTGTGTGAGGGCATGCAGGCGCGAATCAGCTTCTTGAAAGCTGGTCTCGATTGCCTAATGTCCGGATAGTCCACGGGAATAAAGTCCGCACAGAAGTCCACATTCATGTTCGACTTGGCCTGAGATTTCTCTCCTGTGAAAAGGAAGTCAAATATGTTAAGAAATTTAAAGAGAAAGGCAGATCTCTACTTACCCAATGCATAAAGCCGCATCTTGCGGAATGGATGTGCCGATGAGTTCTTAGGATTGCCTTTCATTGTTCCACTTTTGCCTCCTTGACTGGACTTGTTGCCATCACTAACATCCAGATTGTTTTTATGCTTGCGCGAGAGTTCCGGCGTCAGTGGCTGTCGATCGTCGGATGAGCTATGGCCCATCAACGAGCTCATCGAGAGATTCATGCCCGAGTACTGATTGTGAGCCAGCGGCGTGAGCTTTGGCATCGTGTTGATCAGGGCCAGGAAGTATTTATCCTGCTCCGGATAGTGCGTGACATCGTGATGGGCGTTTGTATTGCTTCCCGTGGTGTTTTTCAGCATACCAATGACCGATTTGCTATTGGGTTGACCACCCCGAATGAGCAGTGCACCATTGGCGTGCCGCCAAGTGGGCAGTGGTATGCGCTGGCCCTTAAAACAACGACCCAAATGCATTATTGCCGCATCGCTGCACTGAACGGGTGCCACAATTATTGCCGGATAGGAGCGGCAGGTGGCATAGCTGGTGTTCACATTGCTTATGCGGAAACCACGCTGCGCCTCCGCATCGAATCCTAGTCGCTTCCAGTCCTGTACATAGCTCCTTTCCCGCATTCGCTCAACATCCTTTGTTGTCAGCAATCTAGGCATGGCATTGTTTTGGGTTTCGAACTCATCTCCATCCTCCAGCTCATCGTCGATAGATTGAGTTTCCTGGGCATCTGCACTTCCGTAATCAAACTCGGAGACCAACTTCCGCTTGGTTTGCTGCTTCTGCTTGAATCCCGCCTTCTTGGCCCCGCGAAGCAGCGTCTTTTTGGCAAATCCCTTTAGGGTTGAGTATTTCTCCTTCGTTTTTAAAGGAGCCACACCCTGAAGCATGGTGCCATACGATTGAAAGGCGAAGTACTCAAACTCATCGAACGGATGGCGGGCTTTGCTCAATATCTTCCTGAAGCTTTCGATCTGCTCGGGAGTAACTTCCGGGTCGAAGGCCACCTTTATCAGTTGAAAGCTACTGGAGCGCAGCTGCAGTCCTTCGGTCAGCGTTTGATCCAGATGGGCCAGGTACAGCACGGATATTTTCTTCTCCTTCAGCAGGGAGGCAATCGGAAAAGTGCGCACGATCACCTGCTCGCAGTAGAGCGGATCGCAGGGGGAACCCTTGAACACCACACGGTAGTTGGTGAGGAACAGAGCTCCCTCGGCGGGTATCAGGCACTGGGTTTCGTCTTCGCGTCCATCCGGCATGAGGAAGCAACGCAGGTGGTCGGTAGCCAGGTCCTCTCCTGGCAGCAGGCATGGTGTCTGAATCTTCGGCTTTTGCACATGCGGATGGCGCTTGGCCTCCAGATAAACCGGTTCCAGGGATTCGATGTGCATGTGCACCACACCCGGCACCATGTCATGCAGATTGCGTATGTGTTCGGAGGTCACACCACCTTCGGTACAAACGCTGTCAATGAAGCGAGAAATTGTCTTTCCAACCGTGACGCCAATTTCCAGAGCATTGTTCTCCTCGAATCCTTCGTCGGAATGTTCGCTAAGGCTGTGCGAGCCCATAATACTGTAGTTACAAATGATTAGGCATAATCTCAAATACATATTACACGACTTACCTATTGGAAACGCTCTGATTTTCCTCCAGGCGAAACGCGGGTTTAGGCTTACTTGCTGCATCCACATTCACGTCGAGCGGAATGAGAAGGGAGACCATACGGTTGGCAAAGTGAATCGCCTGGCTGTACAACGTAGACTCCTCCGACTTGGCCAGCTCGGCCTTCTTCTCCTCCTCGATGGTGGGACTTTTTCGCAGCTGCTCGGCCGTAATCTCAAGCGCCGTCGGCTCCTCCAGCGGAACCTCGTCTAGCACACAGTTTGCCTCCTTTTGATGCTCGTTCTGACGACGGTGAAGCAGATACAATGCCTTTATCTGACCCTGGACATCCTGAAAGAATGTAGACTCCCAAAACTGATGGTTCTTCCATATGGCGTGATCTTGTATCTCTGTGTAGGCGAACTGCACCACTCCTGTCGATAACTTGCGGCAAAATATGGTGGACATGGGCAGCAAAGCCGCAGCCACTGTGTACTCGTCGATCCCGGAGGATTTGTGCAGTGCCTTGTTCATGAATCGCACAACCAACTCAAACTGCTGATGGTCCAGCACCGCCTTGTTACCATGCACATACCCGAAGAACTCGCGGCACAGGATTAACCTCGCATCTCTATGCATCAAGGTTCGCATCACAGCTGGCAGCAGTTTCCTGGCGTCCGTAATCCGGTTCTCGAAGATGTATGACACACAGATGCGCAGCACCTCCAGTCGTCGCGCAGAGTTTTGGACATTGGGACGCACATCCAATGCCTCGGGCAACCTGGGTCCCATTGGAATGATCCGGTGCTGATTTCGCGTCACATGGAAACGCTGTGGCACTCCGTTCTTGCGTATTCCCTCCTGGATGATTAGCTCCACCTTCTCAGAACTGATGCGCGGGAAGGCGGGCTGATGAATCCGCTGGAATGCGCCCTCCGGCGGGCGCAAGACTTTCTGGGCATAGTTTATGTGGGCCAGTGTACCCTCATTCTCGTAAAGAACGCGTCCCAATTCCTGGATATGTGTGAGTATCTGAAAGGTAGATGAAATGTATATAAAAGAACACCTTTTATATGTAATTAATAATTACGAGATTCCGATTCTGCGCCTCAGACTTGAGCAGTTCGTTCATGGAGCTGTACAGTTCATCCCAGGCGTCGGAGGCACGCCAGGGAGGTCCTCGTTCGTTGACGAACGTGGTGAAGAACATGCTGTCCAGCACACGGAACAGAAATTCGCTCTCGATCAGATCCCGGGCGCCGAGGAATCCAGCCTTGTGGAAGGTGATAACCGGCTTTGGATGAATCCGAATGATTGTTAGACAGGAGCGATATCCCTGCAGCAGCTGGGCGAAAAGACGCATGAATATGGCGCGAAGTTCCTTGTCGATCTGAGCGTCAGTCTTGGCCAGCGCAGATGGCCGCTCCAGCGTAGGAAACGCCAGATCCGCCTGCGCCAGGTTTGGGAACAGGATCATACTGAGCAGGTCCTGGGTCTGTTCCCACAGCGGTGAGGGAAGTATAGGAACAGGCGGAGTAAGCGACTCCGGAATGGTAACCAGGCCGCCATCCAAATCCACCACAATAACATCCAGCAGATCCGTAATCTCAGTTTGAAGTGAACTATGTATGCCCATGATGAATGGTGTGGGTGTGGACAGAACTTCCGTGAGTGGTGCCGGCAAAATGGGTATATACACATGCGTGTACCGAAAGGGATACATTAAAGCCACCAAAGCCCTGCAGCTATCCGTCAGGTGCCAATAACACTTGGACAAGAACAGTATTTTGTTCTCGGTCATCACGGCGCAGAGCAGGATCAGCACATTCTTGATACCCAGCTGCTTGAAAAGGAAGTGCACTCCACTTCCAGTTGTGGGCAGGGATGAGCTCTGTGGCGGCTGCAGGGACTGCTTGTCGCCAGCTCCTATGGAGAAACGCACCTGCGGCCCACCCGCCGGAGGAACTTGGATGCAGCCCAGAATGTTGCCGATGAGGGTCTCCAATGCGTAGGCCAGGTTTTCGATATACACCGTGTATATGGTGCCCAGGCAATTCTGCAAGTGGGGGTAAATGATTTTAAGAAATCACTAGGAAGAACTGAATTCTAATCTCACTTTGAAGGTGTCGGCGCAGTCCAATCGCGAGATGAGCACCAGACACTTGGGTGCATACATGACGCTGTGGTGCGTGATGGGCGCCGGCGTGGCTGCCGCTGCGATGCCATCCGTTGAGGAGGGGGTGGCCCCCAGCAGCCGGCTGTTCCCGATCGTCTCATCCTCGTCGTCCACGCTGCGGGTCTGGGTGATGGCCACCGTCTCGTGGAAGCTGAGGCAGGCGCAGTAGTGCTTGTTGGCATCGATGTCCGTCAGCACGGAGACGAAGAACTTGGGCTCCTGCTTCTCGTACGATAAACACCACCCAAGCGGCTGGCAGAACTGTCGAAACATATGTACGATTAGGGTAGAGTCAGATATGTGTGGAAATATGTGAGGAATGTTTGTGGCAACGCACCCATTCAATGCCCTCGATAAACGGAGTGTCCGGCCAATCTTTCTCGGGAAAACGCTGAACGATCTTGCCGCACGTCGGCTGCTGGCCACCCACATTGCTGGCGGTCTCTGGGGAGAGGGAAAAAAGTGGAAGGAAGTCAGGAAATCAGGGGATTGCTAATTACTCACTCTCCTTATCGCTGTCGTAGCCGACTATTACGAAGTAATCAGCAAGCCGGGACATCTTGCCCAGCACATTGCCGGCCAGTCGTCTGGGATCGGTTCCTATGGGTACTTACTGGCCAAAACTGGGGAGTACAGAGTGTAGAATGTTTCTATGTTTTATTTTGGTTTTATTGTTATTCCTGGTAGCAGGGGCAGCAGCAGCGGCAGATGGCAACTGCTCGCCAGTGCCGTCATCCAATTTGTTATGCTAATTAGGCTCCGTCTCTGCGCTCGGCATAAATGATTAGCTATAGGTCCGAATTGTTGTTGTATTGTCTATAGCGCCCGGAGGCGTTTTTCAGGCTTTTCGAGTCGTCGAGTCGTCTTCAATCTGTTTTTTTTTTCTTTTTGGTTTTAACCACACCCCGCCACGCAAAGAGGAAAAGTTCGCCGGGATCTGGGATGGCTATAGCTATATATACAACCGTGCACACACCTCGCAGCCGGCTGCAGCCGAAATCCCCGCTCACTGCCTGCAAATCTCAAGGAATTCGGGCTATAATTATTATTTTTAAGTTTGCATAAAAAAAGATAGATGCAATACACAATAAATTCCGCGAATTGTGCAACACTGTTTGGATCAGCTGGTGAAGAATATCGATAGCTTATTGCGCTATGTGGAGTATCGATAGGTTTTATTATAGTTAGTGGTTAATCGGCGCGTGTTCAAAAGATTGTTTAAATGAACTTAATAAAGATTTTGAAATTTCAAGGTGTTTGCTAAATCACATACCTAATCTTTGTTAATTTTGGTGTAACACTTATTTTTTCAGATTATTCAATATTCAATTTCTAGGTGCTGTCAGTGGAAAATATGTATAAACCTGTATTTAAAAATATTAACATTTTGAAACTGTTCATTTTCTATTGAGCATCAAATTTTTCTCCATTCTATTGTTGTATTTCATACAGGAAGCTAAGTTGCTGAAAATCAAAATAAAATAACCATCAAAAATATTCCAACAAATAAAAACAAACAGATTCTTCGTTGGTGACTTGATTTTCTTTTTTCAACTTAATTGTAAATCACGATATCTTTGACATTATGAACTAACGAGATATAAATACATAATAACATTGATGACTAACTCGTGTAAGACGTAACTTATGATAGGTGTGTTTTAGCTGATCTTTACAAACATATTACGTATACGTATCGTATGTACTATTCTGATAAGCCGATCATCTTGTTTCAAGCATGATTGCCGTTCTCTGTGGTTTTTGTTTCCGCCGGTGGGTTATCCTGTGGCGGCATGGTGAGCGAAACTGTGCCCTTATCCGTGTGCTTTATGTGCTCCATTTCGATGTCCGAGCAGTTCTCGGAGTTGGACAGAGCTGAGTCCATCGAGGTGACGGTCATGTCCACGGCCTTATCGCTAGTGTTCGTGGAAAGCAGAGGTTTCTCCACCGCCGGCTTGTCGTCGGCATCCTCATCGCGGGTGGGGGGCACAAAGCTATTGCTATTGATGTCCTCGATGGCCTTGCGCAACTGTTATGAGGTAATAGGTTATAAGATGATAATCTTTAAGGACATCAAATAAATCTTACTTCTTTGAGTCCCACCACGCCTACTAGCCTTCCGATCTTGGTCACATAGGCGTGGTTGATGCCCACCATCGAAAACAGTGAGTGAACCTTGAGTATGGAGGTGCGTTCCACCAGCTGAAAGGGTGAGGGGTCTATGTGCACATTGGCCTTCTCCAGATCGATGGGCTTTAACATCTCCTCGAGCTCCCATTGCTTCTGATCCTCCGGCGACATGTCGATGACACGTTCCCTGGGCTGAAAATATATTATAATAGTAGTTATTATCCAAAAAGTAAAAATCCTATATTAACCCCCTTTATTTTAGACATACCAGCTGCACTGATTTCGGCTTTTGAATACTCTTGTTTGGTTAAGATAAGAAAAAGAGTCGGTTATATAAGGCTTATGAGTAAGTGTTATTTAATGCATTATAAGTTAGTTGAATTTTCAATAGCTTCACCTACCTCCACATCAATTTCGGGACCTTTTGTTTCATCCACATTCTCTATAGAGTATCCCAGTTCGTTCGGTTCTTTTATTTCACATTTCGTTCGAGTAGGCGAACCATTTACTCCAACTTCAGTGGCAAACCGTATTTTCGTGCACTTTTTTGCCTTTTGAGGAGATCTATTTACATCTGTAACTTTGTTTGTTTTGAATTTAATACTCGGTGACTGGCTTGAACTATCCCCACTATTTGATAATGCTATATCCGTGCTATCCTTTTCCGCAGGCTTTATATAATATATTTTAGGGTTCTGATTAAAATGTTGCTTAGTTCTGTTTATACGCTTTACATTTTTCTATCTACTCTAGTTCTACTGCTGATCCTATTTTTATAGCGATATAATACTTTCAGAACTCTGGTTGTAGATCCTTACCAATTTTGTTGCTTCCGTTGAAATAGGGTTTACTTGCTTGCAGATATTAGAGTGGTTTAAACACACATCTCATAGGAAAATGATTTTAATGAAGTGAAAGTTGTACAAGAGTTACTTACCAGCATAATTTGATCGGTAACAAAATCCCAATTACTTTGTGCAGACTTGAAAAGAGGGATTACATCTCCCAGTTAACTTAGGTACCCCAAAGAACCAGCCCAATCCTTAGAAGGTATATAAGTTTCACTTACCAGCTGAACCTTTTTGGAAACGCCCGGAGTGCTGGGAGTTCGAGGCACCTCCACCTCGTTGTTGCTGGCGGCCGGGGAGAGGGAGCCCGTTTCCGGATCCGGCTGGACATCTTGGAGCGTTGTGGACTTCTTAAAGATGGCCTCGAAGGCGGAGCGAATGCGGAACTCGGAGTTTCCGGTGATTGTGGTGTAGGGAGTGATACTAGGACTATGGGCCATGGGCTGGGCATAGGTCTTCAGGTTGAAGGAGTTTGTCTTCTTCAGGATGGACTTCCTGGGCGCCAGGGAACTATGCATGGTCTCCGCCCTCTTTTTGGGCGGCAGCATTTCATCATTGGCAATCTGCCGCAGACTGAGAATATCCGGAGCAGGTAACACCTCAAATCTCGATGGTCGCCGCATCTTCAGCTCCACCTCCTGCTTCTTTTTCTCCTCCTCGAGTGCCCGCTCCTGGGCCTCCTTCTGCCACTTCTGGGCCACCTCCATTCGCTTCTCCCGTCCAATGTGCTTCTCGATCATCTTGATCAGCTCGTACCGCTGCACAGATCCCAGGAGGATCATGTTATCAGGACTGTCCACCAGTGGCAACGATCTCAGCGTCTTGTTCAGCTTGAGCACCTCTTTGAGCTTCTGATAGGAGATGCCATACCATATGTACTTTACATCCCGCACCATAAAGTCCTCCACGAATATGCTGTACATCCCCGAACTGGAGGGCAGGAGATCGGGCAAGTACGGCAACTTCTTAATCAGTATAATACTGTCGTATATCGACGGTTGGAGCAGGGCCGCCACGGCATTGGCCACCAGCACGGCAATCATCACGGGCACTACATGGGTGATCTGGCCAGTCATCTCGAAAATGATCACGGCCACGGAGACCGTGTGGGTGACGGATCCTGAGAAGGCGGCTGCTCCGACGACAGCATAGCCTCCGGGCATGATGGGCGATAGTCGACCGCCATATCGGACTCCATGGGGAAACGTCACTGCCATGAACTCGCCCACCAGCCGACCAAAGCCCGCACCAATCTTAAAGACCGGGATAAACATGCCCGAAGGAACTGGTATCGTGGAGGCGATAATGGAGAACATGAACTAAAGGGATAAGATCCTATTGGTTAGTAATTGTGATTTCTTTACTTAAGGCCACTCACCGTAAAGAGGGTGTAGATCACTAGGTTTCCAAACACGCTAGTATAGCTGGTCATCCAGTGAGTCACCACGGCCGCCTGCTCCACGGTAAGATCATCGCGTGACCACGTGAAATTGCTAAAGAGCTGCGTAACCTGCTCATGGGTGCTCAGTTCGCCGGCCAGAAACTGACCAGTGCCCAGGGGAAACGATATGCTGGAGACCAACAGGGCCAGGAAACCAGGGTACAAGAAGCGACTAAAAAAATAAAGATTTTAAGAGTGATATTTAAAATAATAAATGTATAAGCCATCTGTTCTTAAGAACTCACTTTTTCTGCAGGAACTTGTTCATCCGCTTATTAGATCTCATAAACAGGACATATCGCCGATGGACCCAAACATAGGAGGCGCCACCCAATCCACAAACAAGACTTAAATGAAAAAAATAATACAGTTAATAAGTTATATATTTAAAAAGAATTGAATGGTAAGAAAAATAAAGATTGTTATTATCTAAATATTTTTGCCAAAGCATTGATTCTTAGATCTGAGTGGATGTACTTATATATGTAGATATTGTAGATGACTTACCCAATCAAGGCGAAGACAAACAGCTCCTGGGGATCGAAGGGAAACTCGGTGGTGAAGTTCGTGAGGAACAGGGCCCGAACGGTATCCGCATTTTGGAACCAAACGGCCAGAAGTCGGAAGACAGTGGCGCCACAAACGGCGGCGAAGAAGCCACGCCAGTAGTTGCGCACCGCAAAGTAGGTGGTGGTGACCTCTATGCTGAAGAGCACACCTTTGGGGTTGGAGAAGGTCAGGGGTCAGAGGTTAAGATCAAGAAGGAAGATGATAATAGACTACTTACCCCCCACGGGAGCGGCAAAACAGGCGCCCACACCCACGGCACAGGCGGCCGCCAGCATTTCAGAGTTTCGCGACTCATTCTCATATATGCCTTGGAATGATGTGACAAGTTTACTTAATAATTGTGCTACAATACTTGCTATATGTACGAAAGGACCCTAGGGAAACATACGGAGATACCATTTACATTTACAGATGCGGAAACTGATTTTTTTTGTTTATAGATTTTCCAAATTGCACTTGTTTTGCCGCCTCGGCGGTGTGCATGCAGTGTGAGATCAATTCTTATACTTACTTCCTTTCCTAATGGCATACCGCTGCCCAGAGTTGCCGTTAAACCAATTACCTTGGCCACTAGTGTCTTAAATGTGAGATACTCTTTCAATTGAACGCCGCGCAGTATGGTCTTCATTTCGGGTATACCGGAACCTAGACACAGTTTGGTTATGTTATGTAGATTTGCATTGATCATACTCGCAGTTATAGTTATATCTATGGTTAGGGGTTAGTATTTGCTGAGGTGTGCAGTTAGCAGAATTGCTGGGAGTGTTAGTGGTTCGAGTATATAACATGTAGACACAATGGATTCTCAGATTGGAGGTGCCAAGGGTGCTTGGAGTGGGCAGCTGCCAGAGTGCAGTGGTACTATGAGTACTTTAAAATCAAAGTAAAGTAGGTAGGAGTACAAGAAAGAGAGTTCTGATAAAAAACCCTAATAGTTCTTTGAGAGAGGTTGCTTGGGAAGAAGTCATATATAGGAAACAATCAAGATTCGTTCGTTTCCCTGGCCCTAATCAACCATAGAAGTAAAGTAAGTAAGCACAAAATTCATACAATTTCTACAATTTTGGAAAACCGACGTCAGCTTAAATGGAAGAGTGCGACAATTTGAGGCAATTACTTATTTATTCACTCAAGCGGGCTACTTTTAAGAAATATTCAACAAATAATCCACTACATTGGTTAGACTAAGAAAAAGACAGATATTATAAAAGTATTATATTTGATAAGTATGAGATCTATGGCAAAGAACAATCCACTCCATAGGTAAGACTAATTTAAAGACAGTTATGAAGAGGAACTAATATATGATATGATAAGAAAACCTGATAATATGTCAGGGTGCTTAAGATCTGTGATAAAAATGAACCTATTACATAGGTTAGACTAAGTAAAAGACAGTTATTTAGAGGTCTATATGATATGTGTGTGATGAGAAAAAGTGATATGTCTGAGATGTATTATATACATGTATGATTACCCAGACGCTTACCTATACTTTGCGGTGCGATGAGATGGACAAAGCCGGCTGAGAATAATATCAAACAGACCGGCAGTGAGACCCAAGCTATGTACTGAACAAAAGGCTGTGACGTCAGATCGCGATACAGCCAAATTCGCGCTAGAGGAATATAGAATACATAAAGAAAAACAATGGGTACTAAAACGAGCTGGGGAATCGATTTATAGCACCATTACCGTTTGTACATATGGATATGCCCTTGTCCATGATGAATGAGAGCAGCGCCATTATGATGCCCAGTAGCGCCAGGAAGACCCAATCCTCGCCCAGCCGGGCCACCGTGTGCCTCCAGATCCATGATGACACCTTCTTCGCCCGGGTCGAGTGTTTGCCTAGCAGTTCCTGAAAATATGTCCCAGCACTGCTGCTTTATAAACTGATACGTTCGGAAAGATCTTAACTATAAAATCTCAACTATGAGATCTACAACTCAAATTTACTAGGTAAATTCCTCTGCATACCTTGAATATTTAGTTTTCTCGTTTAGTTTGCATATTAATAAATCACAAGACCATTATAAACATTGTGTTTTACGGGAGTGGGTAGTCGCTGCTTTAAAGATTCTATTAAATTTTACCTTATTCCTTTGTTTATCTTCCTGCTTTCGTCGCTTTTCGAGTATTTTGAGCTTTCTGGCTTCATCCTTGGCAAATTCTCCTAGATCTTTGGTATAACGACCATACATCTGCGAAGAGAAATGGCAAATTAGTAAAGTCCTGAGCTTTAATAAATAATAATAATAATGTATGTTGTTCTAATAATATTTATGGTACACCAATGCATGTTTTCGAAACCAAACAAAGAAGCTTTTTGTGCTACCTGTGTTGAAAACAAACAATTACATTTGCCTTGAGTATTATAGGCAAATGGCAAGAGAAAAAGAACTGATGACAGAGTAGGAAGTGCACAGACAAATGCACTTGGAAAAAAACCAGATGATACATTTAAAATACCTGTTTATGTACCTAACTATATTTTTCAAGTTCCATTTAAAAAATATAAGTTTTAACATTTTAGAATAATGTTTTACATCTTTAAACTTTAAAACTGAAGATTTTTCAAAAGTAATCAAGAATTTACAGATATCTAAGTGATACCTTTCGGCTATACACTTTGAAAAGTCTAGCAGCTGCAACTTTTTGTGTACCAAGTCTTGTACATACGTCATTATTTGGGTCACTACATTTTTTGAGAAAGTGAAAATCAAGATTCATTTCGACATAAGTGAAATTTTATAAATTCCGATGCAGAATCTGACTTATTTGTGAATTGAAGGGCAGACCTTGTAATGATTTTTTTCTGTGTGTGCTTTGAGGGTCAATGCAAGAGGTTGTTTGTTGCAGACGAGGAAAATAAAATAAATAAATAATAGGTATGTGTAAATGTGGGAATAAAACGCCTCGTCAAGAATATATATTAGAACAATGGTTTTCGTAGACAACTGGGCCCTAATAAAATCCGAATTTATATTAATTCATGTTTGTATAGTGAAGATTTTGAATATGATTTCTGTTTTTAAAGAATAATAAAATTAAAAACATGTAATGTCATATTATAATTTATAGCACTGAATATTTTCATTCATATTTCGGATTTGCAATGTGATTTTTGTTTTGAGGGGTCTGTGAGTTACATTCGAACATCGTTATTTTGTTTTTTAATGGCAATAGTGGCGCGAATTCTTCAGGATACAAAGTGCCAACTTCATGATGGAGAGATGCGCGAATTCTTTAGGATAGGAGGAGGAGGACTTTAGGAGGATCAACTTTAGAGTGACATGGTGCTTTGAAGGCTTCTTTCCGCAGTTATGGCCATGAATACCCTGATACCCTGATGGACAGGTGGCTCGCGGGCCACTCACATAGTAGAACGCCTCGATTTCGATCTCGATCTGGTTCTTGTCATCGCCGGGTGGATCGATATCGATGCTCTGCTGGCGGTGCTGCTCCTTCTGCTTGGCAATGACCTCATCCCAGCGCTGGCGGACGGGGGTGGTGGCTGTGGAGGCTGTCGAGGATGTGGACTTGTGGGAGCGCTCCTCCTTGCGCTGATAGTCCTCGCGATTGATCAGCAGCTCCGGCTCGAAGGCGTATTCGCGAATGTACTCATCCTGGTGCGAGTGGCTGTTGTTAAACATGAAGCAAGCGATGTGCACACGAACGAGGTCCCGTACTCAAAATTACGATTACAACAATCGCAATCGTAATCAGAATCGAATACAAATCAGAATTCACAGTCACTTGGATCTGGGTGGCGGCCTTTGACATGCCCGCGGCTGTTGGCCAAATATTTGTGTCGCATCTTGTTCGCCAATTATTTTTAGTTTTTTCGGTTATCTCTCGGATGCAGCAGTACAGTACAGGTTTTTCGAATCGAATCGCAATGAAACGAATTGAATTTGAATCTCACTGCCAGACGTAATTAGAGGTGGACGCCACTGCCCTTGAGCCCCGTCTCGGAAACACGGCGATTGTAAAATGCATTGCCATTTATTTTTAACATTTTACACGGGGCACGTCGTGTGTTTCATATAAATTTGATTTATCGCTGCCGAAATCAAACCGGAAAAGCAGCACATAAATTAATTTAAGCACTTTCCTATATATATTTTCCAATAACTATTGGCACTTTTTAATGATTTCCATTATCTATTGATTTTTGATCTTGATTCTCCGACGGCCACCGAGCGTTCTTGTATTGGCCTAAACTTTTTTGAAACTAAACTGACTTGTCGAGCTTTCGGCGCTCTGCGTGTGGAAAATTATTGAAATTTTCTTTTGGCTAGACGCTGCGCCAGGGTAGCACGCTGTGCCAATACTAAAAAAACCTCCAACAAGAAAATGAAAAAATGGCTAAGAGATGTGTAAACAAAATATGAATCTCAAAAATTTGTTTTCGACTTATTCTCGTTCGGCAATCAAAGGCACATTCCTTTGGGTGTTTCGAAATGGTTCATAAATTCCATTGCACGATAATGGATTATCAATTTGGGTTTTGATCTTGAAACAACAACATGTGGGTGATCTAGGTGCTAGGGAGTGTTTAAAATGCGGGGTATACTAACTCTAATAATTCTCACCCACGAGTTCCCAATACGGTCACTCTTTTTCGCCACCCTACTACCTTTAGCAATGGAATATTTGTTGCTTTCTTTTAAATATAATAAACACTTTTCGTTATAATCGGATTAAAAATAGCTAATGTCTTTGCTTGTTTTGTCATTCGTCGTACACTGTTTTTGCATTGCTTTTACAAAGGCCCAGATGCGAATAGAAAGTGGGAAAATCGCCAGAGGCAACTAGCAGGAAAAGCGGCGAGCAAAAGCTTGGAAAACCATTCAGAAATCATAAAAAGTTTTTCCGTTGTGATCGATGGTTTCACGGCAGATGTACGAAGCGGTTGTGACGAAAAATATGTACAAATAAAACAATGTTAACATAAAGAATAATAAACACTGTAAGAATGGCAATTTTCATTATAAAAAGTCCACAGTGCGGATGATTGATTTTTTATATGATGGCAGTGATTTTTGAATGGGCTCCTTTTCCATTTAACAGCTTGTAAAAATATATTTTGTAATTGCAAAGTTTTACGTCTGCCTCTACGTGATAAATGATAAAAAATTTGGACGCTCTTTGCGTCATCAGAAATGGGTAATAATAATAAGAAAGTCGGATAATCAGACTTATTGGCAGTATTATCACGATGGTTCGCAGACGTATGTATATATGAATATGATACGATACGGTTGGAAATGTACTTGAAATGTTGTATGATGTGAAATTTAATTTCGTAATAAAATTGAATCACTTTTTGAAAAATTTGAATAATGTTTTCCAAGTTGGAAATGGTATTATAAATTTTAATATTAAACGAAAAACAACCATTTTTTAATCTTATAAGGAAGAAAATTATAAAAGTGCTTCAAAACCCAATTTATAAGGATATTTTAAAACGTTTCGGATATATATTTTTTAACGAAATTACTATTATTTTAACCTCCGCTGTATATGGCCTATAAGAAACGCATGCAAGTTGCCGGGACAGATATAGAGATAAGAGTTTTTTGCCTAGCGTTAGCAAACAAAAGATTGTTTGTCCCCCAACAATACTGTATTTCAGATCCCTGGGTATACCCATATATGCTTACAAGAGTATCGATGTATCCGATGGGATCATCCTCGTCCGAGGAGTCCGAATCCCGGGCATTTTCGGCGGGCGGCGGACACGGGTAGAAGGCGTGCGACTTGATCTTGGGCTGCCGCTGCACGTGACGCAGCTCCTCCTCCATGGACATGGCACTGTTCCGCCGCTTGCGCAACTGGCAAATGAACTTCTCGAAGTCCGCCCACTCCGAGTCCACCAGCTCGACGTTCTCCTCGCCAAACTCTTCATCGTGTATGATTCTCTCGACTTTCTGATTACTCCGATCGCGATTGCGATCGCGTTGCCTATCGCCGAAATACACCATACTGGTGTTGTCAGTTCGAATGGATTTTTAATGGGTTTATAGTCGCAGCAGTTCAACGCGATCGATGGCGCACTATCAAAGATGGTACCGATACGGTTTCGTCACATCCATGGCACAGATATCGCTCATTTCCCGTATTTGAATTCCGTTTGCGAAATAAGGAGGTATATATTCTATCTAGATTTTCAGCTGCGTGTGAGCCGAGCCAAGTCTTAAATTCAACTGAATAGTGTCATGAGGATAGACCGCTCCGGTCCCGCTTAAACTCAAGATTCCATTAAATTTAGTATACAGACACCGACGCACTCGTCTGGTCTTCCAGCAGTCTCAAGTTTGCGGACGCCCGTCGCCAGATATACAGACGTAGTTCCCATGTATCTCATCTCATGTATAACCAGTCACTCTCGAGCGGTCAAAGTTTGCGTGTAAACATCAATAGAATTTCATAAATTTAATAATCTGTGGTCTGGTCAACGGCGAAAAAGTGAAAATGCCAGCGCTTGGATGACACGAAGTGCGGTGCACAGTGGGCTAAGTCTTATGTTCCAGGCTGTATCAGTGATTCTCCTTAAATTTATTATTAATTTTTTTATATTTCCTTGACTTTTATCTTTCATATATTAGGGAGCTGACAGTATCATTCTTAGATAATAGGTTTTTAATTCTCTTGGAATTTTGATACTGATCAACCCACTGTGACGGATCACTTAAGCCGCATAAATTGCGATTACTTGCTTTAATAGTCTCAATGTGTAGACTAGGCATTGGGTCACATGTCTTGGAGCATCTGTTGGATTTATCACATTTAAGTGTACCGGTTCTTTTAGTCCGTCTGCACTGTTTTAGATTTCATTATTGTCTTAGTCAATCTACAAGTTCTACCCCTAATTCGCGATAATGGTAACCCTAAGTGGGTATAGATTGTTAGACCGTGTGTAAGCGGAGTACTCAGGTCATAATCTAGCACTTTCATAACTTTCAGGGAAATTGATATGGGTATAAACGTTTAAGAGAGACCAATTTAAAGAGAGTGAAAGCTTTATCACGATATGTCACCCTCTGTTAGATATCGGTGCACTGCTTGACCAATTAAGCAGTGTAGGACAAAACCGAGCATTATGTTTCTGTTAAGTTAAGTATTGTCAACTTTACTTGACAATTTCATAAGTGGACTTAATTTCCAAGGAGGAGCTTCACAGAAAAATGTATGTAATTAGTTCCGGGGTTAAGAGTTTAGTTAAGAAAGTATTTTAAAATGTTTAACAATATTATAATATAGATGTTGAAGCACCATGAAATCTTCCGGTATCTATTGGGAAAACCCTTACACCGATCCTTAAAGAAGTGGTTCCCGAGGATGCATTTCTCCGATATAAATACTTTGCCTGTGCCGTATAAATATCAATGGCTGTTTGTTAATTCATCCAATGAAAGAGATAAATACCACCATAAATAAATTCAACAGCTTAGATAAAAACTTCCAAGAAAATGTAATCACATGATACCTCTGAGTTCATAATAAATAGTTCCAAGAAATTAAAAACATGTGTCATACTCCATTAAATTAACTTCTTAATAATAATTGTTCCTTAATATAAGTTCCTTCTTGGGCGCACACAGTTACAGAGATACGTGGTGATATGATAATTTACTTACTTTTTTGTGAAGCGACATTTTCGAACTCATATGATAGAAATTAGCAGGCTTGCGATAAAACAAAGTGATCTTGGCTAAAACTGTGTGGCGACTGGAGAGCCAGCATCTCAAATGGTGCTAGAAACACCTTCCGAGCCACAAAACCGCGATAAGGGTACAAGTAACAACAACACCTGAAGCTAGGTGAAAAAATTTAAAGGATGGGGTACAAAAGCTACCGAACTTAATTAAAAATTGAATGAAATCTTTGAATAAATATCTACATAGGTATAGGTATATGTATATTCTGACCATATTCTCGCGTATCCATGGGGAAAAGATAAACACGCAGCGCGTGAACGCAAATACCATGCTATAAAGAAATATAATTTTAGCTAAATTACTTTATGATCCGGACAAGAAAACATATCTCTAGGGCCCATTAAAAATAGTATTTATAATGCAATAGCACTATGAAGCCAAATAAATAGTTTTATTTTTGGCAATCCTGAAACGGTTAACTAAATAGAGGTGATTGTTGATAACGTTCCAATTTTGATGGATGGTTCAATATAGAACCGATAAGAACCCGTCAAATCCAAGTGGATAATACTTCCTTTCGACGTATCAGGTAATCAATCGATCAGCAATTCATTGCCTGCAGTATAATAAATTTAAAGTTACCACTTAAACAAGTACTACACACTTGTTTCCATCTCTGATCTTTAATTGCAGGTTCGAGCGAGTGTTTTTAAATTACCCCATGTCAAAAGATAAGATCACCTATTTAAACGGTATTCAGGATTTCAGTTAAGTTAAACATATGGGGGTTCTCTACATTCATTGTTGCAATTATCTCAAGGTGCTAATTACAGTGTCTCAACAAAGTTGAAGTGAAATTGGTTTGCGTTGGATTTATCTGGAGAGTAGGAAAACCTCATCAATAAACATTTGGGCAGAGAGTACATTTACATGAATACGATAAAACCTTTTGTTTGGCTCGTGGGAGCTTTAAATCTTCCCAACATGGCACAAAATGCCCACACATTATCCTCAAGCTCAATATAATCTCATTCGTATGTTGAGCAACATGTGTCATAGCACATGACAAAAATTAAAAAAAATATATAAGCAAATAAAATAAAAACAAGCAAATAGTCACATGTTAATCACATGAGCGGAAAAAGTAAAACAAGAAACATGTGTGTAAAGGCGTATCGAATTTAATTATACCCTTACGGAAAATCTCTTTGCTTTGAGAAATTGTAAGTATTATAAACAACATTCTTTAGGATGAGATCGTTTTACTTTATACTCAGTGACTTATATGCCATTACTATTTAATATTTAAACTACTGTATATTAAACATTTATAAGGGTGTTTAGAGAACAGTGGCTATCTCAAGAATTTTATTTAATCAACTTGGCTGCTGGAACTAATACAATTACAATCGAGTAATCCCCCGAGTTAATGCCACCAACTGTGACAAGGTTGGAATTGCCAAATCTAAGCGCCATACCGACGTGTTTATGTAAATAAAAATACAGTAGACGGCAATTTATTATCAACTCGGGATTTCCAGCCAACCAATTACGATAAAAAAAAATTAATAACAAACAGGCTGGATCGTTGTGGGCGTTCTAGTGCAAACACAATTGTGGGCTTTAAATAGATAAATGTATTTTCCTATTAGCACGGGTATTTACGGCTCTGTTAATAATCGAATATTTATTTTGGTATTTTGTAGAGCATTTGTTTGGGTGTTACCCCACTTAATAGATTAGCTTCTGACGCTACTTTCGGGAATTGCTGCGATAATATTAACAAAAGTTTATGCTCATGAATCCGATTGACATTGTAAAACAATCAATCAATTCTCGATCAATAAATTTGTCCTGATAACTGGTAAATTTTCACGCCACCCCCAATAAACTATATGGACTGAATTTATAGCTTGAGAACGAGTGTTATGTGTTATGAATCACAGTAAATTTGAATAGGCGTCGGAAATTATATTATATTTTTTTAGAAAGTGAGAAGAATGTGTAACATTTTAATTTGATTAAACGAGTTATCACCAATGGTTAATATAGTAATTAATTAATTAATATAGTAAAATTGCGGAAATATGTTTATGATATCTATTGTTTAGCATTGAAATTGCCTTTGATCATCTAGAAATAAAACAATATTGACACTTAATGAGTCTAACCGCAAACAAACATGTCAATAAGAAAGTGAATTTAAAACCTCGATACGGTATGGAATGACGTATGCCTATACTAAGATTGAATGAAAATGATATCCACCTTTAGTAAAATTAACTAGTTATATAATCATGAATGATGACAATTGGAATTCTCACTAATCGCTCATAATATCCGTTGTAGGTTTCGTTTACGACATCGATCTTAACCTTTTAATCTATAGGCTATGGCCTTGAAAAGCTGCAGTTTATTCTTATTTGAATCAATTGATTTATTTATAATAAGGAATATTTGAACAAAGGTGTAATAGCTTAGATTATTTATTAAGAAGAAGAAGAATGGGACCAAGAATATGTATTTTAGATTCTAGCACACTATCATTAGTTCATTATAATTACAATTCATTATAAAAAATGTATTTAAAATTGTAATTAATTAATTATCTAAATTAAAGAATTGCACCCTTTCTAGCACCTTATTCTAATGGACCGGATAACCTTCCCCAACTTCACTTACCAGCGTGTGGTGGTAGCCCAGTCCACCCTCCTCCTCGTCCGTGCCATCCGGCAGAGGACTCCTGTCATGGTGGTGGCCCAAGGAGGAGGCGTTGGAGTAGGTGCGCAGGGGCAGCAGGCGGGCTGAGGGGCTGTGTGGCGACGGGGCGATGAGCAGCTGACCTCCGTTCCTGGTCGCCTTCATCTTGGGACGGGAGTGATGTGTGCGACTCGGAAGTGAATTTTCTCGGCGGTCACAGATGGCAGACGGCAGACAATGCGAGTGCAGGGCAGGAATTGCATTCGTCACTTGTGCATGTGTATACGGGATTTATGAAAGCAAATTCCTTGGGCTCATTTGTGCATTAAATTCAATTATCTGCACCACGACGACGAAGTCACAAGACCCACTTCCTTTCAATGGCCAGCAGCAGTTCAGTGGAGTGGAGTTGATCCGCCGATGTGGCTGCCTCCAAAGATTATTTATGAATATTCTGCTGGTTTTTTACCAGCTGCCGGTGGAGTGCACAACTGCCTGGGAAACTGCTACTGATACTGATTCCGAATCGGCGTTATCTGTGAGATCACTTTTTACTTGTGTCTACTCCGTTGGCCGAATCCGGCTGGCGATAAGGCAGTGCTTAAGAGGTTCGTATGTGCTCCGAGCGGACATTTCAAGTGGCACACTTGAGTGTGTGAAGGCTTAATTAACACCGGCAAAAGCGACGACCCCGAAAGAAAGGCAGAATCGGGAAAATGTATTACACTTTAATTATCCTCCTATCAAAGTGAGTGTTGCCAAGTCGTGTCGGCGATCTGCAACGAATCGAAAATTGCCAGAATAAATATGGAGTATAAACAAATGTGTGGTATCGTATCGGCTAATGAATTTAGTATGGGAACATGTGTGCCCAACGAGCTGTGCAAGCATCTCGACTGATAAGTGGCGCAAAAATTAGCAAAATACGATAATAACAGGTGTACAACCAGGTAAATACCGCGGTTAATTCAAAGAGGCATGATATGGTAGTTCCTAACTTTCATATAGTAGTCCCTAACTTTGATATTCTTCTTATATGTTCAATAGATCTGCTAGATATTTTTTTACAAGTTTTCCAAACAGAACCGGTGATACAATAAAACGCAGTGATAAGAAAATAAAATATTTTTCCTAATACAACCATTGCTACATTTAATCTCATCGATAGTGGAATAAAATATATACCAAACCTATGAAACCTATGTATACCATCTATTGGGTGGAAATTCAATGTTTGTTTTGATTTCGACTGTACGATAGACCCCATATAGCCTTATCATTAGCGCAACCTGACATCAAATACTATGGCAATGTGCAGGAGCCATTCTACCGTAAAGTGGATTATGGCGGAATAATTTATGATGGTATTAATTTCTTTAGATGCCTAGCTTCTATGACCAACTTTTAGAATTCAAAAGATTTATTACATTATTTTAATCTTTAGTCACTATTATGGCGCCTGTTTTGGCAAATTTATGGGCTTGCGAATTCGTTTTGCCTGAACGATCGATCGCCTCTTTGGGACTTCAGATGGGGCCCTTAAAACCCGAATAGCAAGTAAAAAGTGGATTTAACAGGCCGCGGCACAGATTTTGCTTTTACTTATTAAGCAAAAAACATTTAAATAACTTTACATATACATTCGGTTGTTTTCCTTTTCTTTATTTTGCTTTATATTGCTCTGCTAAAAACCAGATGATATTCATGACGAATTTAAATGGGTCTCAAATTATTTTATAGCTTTGTGATTTCTGTATTGGATTTGTTCGTGGTAAACCAATTAGGTTTATTAATTTACTTTCAAAGCTTTTTAATGAAGTAAATGCTCGGAATTCCGCTGGAACACTTTGATGAGGAAGTGATTCGAGCACACTTTTTTACTGAATTTTCAAACACATTTCAATAATGCTCCACATAGCTAACATACTTTAGTAATGGCAAATCTGAGTCAGGCCATTACGGCACTGATTTCGCAAAGCACTTGAAAAATATATAAACATGAGTGCACATATTTGTTCTAGCAGATAAGAGGAAACCTTATACTCTTTATGGGGAAGACGAATCTTGTTAAAAGCGGAATGGAACAGCGCCCCAGATTGCCTGCTCGAGTTTTGGAATACTTTTTAATGGGATTTTAAGCCAGGCCCTTAACTTAATCTGCAAAGAATTACCATCTATAAGTACGCACACTTTAGATACACAAATGCACTCGTTGCTGGGGACTAAAAATATATCAAAGAAAATATTTTTTCAAAACAATGGAAAAAAAAAACTCAAAGCTTGCCAAAAATATACCAAAAATAATTTTTGCAAACACAACAAAGTAATACGCTAAACAACAGAGTGTTTGTACTATGTTATTATACTTTTTGGTACCCCCATATTACCAAAATATTCCGCACTTCAGGGGGATCTACACATACGGAGCTTGTAAACTTTTTTGCGACAATATTTGCATACTGTTATATGTATATCTTTACTGTAGTAACGCGGTCTTATGTACTCGTTATAAAATCAATTAAAAAAAGCGGCGCAAAGATGCAAAACAAAAACGTCACGAATGCGAATGAGAATTCAGTATCAGAATAATGAGAACACAAACACCGCTTTTCGCGCTCCACCTGCTCACACCTGTGGCGCGTGTTTGGCTGTTTTAGTTATTGTTGTTATGAGGGGCGATCGGATCGGATCGAGGTGGTTCCATTTCGCATACCAAGTGGGAAGAAGACTTGGGATCGGATCGATTGCACTCACTTTGGCTCTGATATCTGATGGATGTATCTCACCGAAACTCGGAACCGAATCGCGTATCACAGCGAAGCAATTAGCGTTGGGCGATATAAGTCGAGTCGCCGGAACGGAATAATATATTGTATTGTATTGTATTGTATTGGGGAATTATTGGAGAGCTGCTACCGCTGTCAACGCGACCGCTTCGCGCTCTGGCATTGACTGGCGTCGTCGTCGTCGTCGTCGCCACTGCTCATTCTCGCTGGATCTGAATAGGTGGTGTTGGTTTTGGGCTGGAGCCACTGCCACTGCTTATCACCCGCAGTCGCGGTCTCGGTCTCGGCCAAGATTAATGACGTCCATATAGTTACAGTGTAGTATTTCCATATTCGCTCGCTCTCATCGATCAGCTGACTGACTTACTGTCTATATATCACATCCGAACCCTGTTCAGATTATCCCCAAAACGATTTCCTTAATTTTCTGGAAAATTTGCCTAACGTTAGGCACGCTAACGCTACCAAAATCCAAAAAAAGAGAGTAGAAACGGTAGCTCGTTGCAATTCCGATTCGAAACGCTTATCTAAAACTAGCTCTTTATGGGCCCATATAAAAATCTGAGTGAGCGAGTCTAGAGATTTGACTTTCGGCGCGTTTATGAATGGGATTTGTGGAGTATCATAAAAAGTCTTCAAGATGGGGCACACCTTGAGCAAATATCTCTTAAAAACATAATAAAACTTGGGACCAGCAAGTGTGGAACACAAAGTCCTTGACATATCTTGAGTGTTTCCAAGCTCTGGGAAACTTTTCGGGTAACTCCGTGACATTAAATGGATTTTCCTACCAATTTGCATATTAACCCACTTTAAAATCTCAAGAGATCTCTATGAAACCGCAGATCAGGGGAATTTTTTGTAAAACACAAAATAGTAAAACTCGTCTGACTTGTTCTTTTTTTCGCTGTAATCCGAAAATTCTACTTTTATTGAGCCGGCATCTGTGCGCTTGTTGCGTAAAATTAAAATCTGCCTCGCAATAAACAAATCATCGAGCGTGGTTGATCCATTAGCACCTGATATATATAGTATTTGTAGTGGCGACTACAGAAGGGTGAAAATTATGACGGGAATGTACGAAAATACACAGTAACATTTCAAACAGAAGTTTATGAATAGCAGCGATAAAATACAATACAGTAAGTCAATATTATTTGCGAATACTCTCCATACTCTCCGAATACTCACCCATTATTTTACCTGGCAAAAAAGGGAGTGCTTTTTGCTCGAAAAATTACCCAATTATAGCTGGAATTGTTTTATTTGTATCTCGAATTGGCAGGTTTTTTTTGTTACCGACACGCGCATCAAGGCCTATCAAATAGATACAAGTGATTAGCATGATATCATTTCTGTATCTTAAAAGGAAAAAAGCCATCATCAAGTAAACATTTATCGCAAAAAGAAAAGCTGTGTCGCAAACGCCTGTCAAAAAGCTAAAGTAACTTTGAAGCCGCCGTCGGTAGAAAACCCCTTCCGAGTATAAGTATATTTAAATACGTTTTCATTTACTTTACGAGATCTTATAACCCAGCGCCAGGCAAATTCCTCGGTACTACGTAATACGTTATCTATTTTCAGCACTCATTTTATTGGTATAATTATGAGAAATGATCACTGGATCAAAATAGACATACGAATTTATTGACAGGTTGCTATCTATCGAACTGTCAACGGTGTCTTATGGAAAGTGAAAAGTTTATACGCCCTTGGTCCCTAAGATATCTTTAAATGGAACCCCAAGCTGAAAAAATACCCCAGTATTTCTGGTGATATTTAAATTTAAAGTGGGGATAAAAATTTGATATCTTATACAATTTTGAATTCGAGTAGAAAACAAACTCGCAGTTATTAGATAAATAAAATATTACACCAATTTTGAGCCCACATTTTCTATTGATGTGGAAAAACATGCTCAATCGTTACATGTGTTGCTCTATTGCTAGAAAAGCAAATGTTTATGCAATTCTTAACTCACTCTTTTATTTACATTGTCAATTGATGTTTACTGAAATGGCATAATCAAATGTTTTTAAGCAGCTGTGCACTTATAGGAGCGTCCACATTTTCCTCTTCCGTATCCAAGCCATATCATTATGAGGAAATAAACACAGCGTATTTCGTTTTCATGTAAAAACAAAAGTTTATTTTAGAAAAAACCTAAATTAATAATTGAAACTTAAATAGTATGATTGAAATTTCTAGAGAATAAAGTACTTAAACGAAAGTGTGCTCTTTATTCTGGATGTTACATTGGCTTACAATCAGAAAAGTGGTTTCCTAAGTCTGACCAATCAATTGTCTCTGTCAGAATTCTGTTCGGTAGTTAAGTGTTTACGTGGTTGTAATAGTGCCTTAGCGGTTTATAGTTTCAGCTTCATCATAATAATATATGAAATACTTGCGTCTACATTAATTTCAATGTAATCAAACTATGGAAGAGCTCTAGATGCGTCTCGAGAAGTTGCCGCCCCCGTTGCCGCCGCCATTGTTTCCCATTCCGCCGCCGCCGTTACCACCCCCGTTTCCGCCGCCATTGTTTCCATTGGCGCCACCCCGGGTCTTTCCGTCGTAGAAGAGCTCAATGTAGCGGGAGCCCATCTGCTCTCGGTGGCGCTTCATGGCCACCTGGGAGTCCTCGTAGGTGTCGAAGTAGGCATCAGCAGTTCCGCTGTGCAGACCCTTCTTGTTGTAGTTGATGCGCACATTGGCGGGTCGAATGGGTTCGAAGAACTGAAAGTTTATGGAGTTTATTATTAAAAAGTGCTATATTAGGAGTTGAACCATCTAGAACCCACCTTAAAGACGTCGTTTTCGAAGGAAGTGTAAGGAAGTCCCCGCATATGGATTGTATAGTGATCGGCATCGTTGCCCCGGCCTCCGCCGATGGGTCCGAAATTGCCACCGCCTCCGATGGAGTTGCCACCGCCAAAGTTGGAGCCATTGTTGAAACCGCCGCCGCCACCGCCGTTGTTGCCTCCAAAGTTGCCATTGCCGCCGTTGCCCATGTTGTTTCCTCCTCCAAAGTTGCCAAAGCCGGAGTTTCCAAAGTTGCCGCTGTTGTTGTTATTGCGGCCACCGCCGATCGGGCCAAAGTTGCCCCCGCCAGACGACGAGCCAAAGTTGCCGCCATTATTGAAGCCTCCGCCGTTGTTGCCGCCAAAATTGGAGCCGCCATTGTTGCCGAAATTATTGCCGCCTCCTGGAGAATTGAAGTTGTTGCCACTGTTGAAGCCACCGCCGCCGCCATTGTTGCCGCCGAAATTTCCGCCCCCGTTGTTGCCAAAGTTTCCAAAGTTGCCGCCGTTACCGCCATCGTTGTTTCCAAAGTTACCGGAGTTCCCACCGCCGCTATTGTTGCCGCCACCAAAGTTGCCGAAATTGCTGGGTCCAGAGTTATTTCCGAAATTTCCACTATTTCCACCCTGGTTGTTGCCAAAGTTACCCGAGTTCATCAGGCTTGGCAGATTGTTGAAGCCCAGCATGTTGTTGGCGCCAACACCGAAGTTTCCATTGTTGCCCCAGTCTGGGAATGGAAAAATAGACATTAAAACCATAGTTTAGATTATGTATAAAACCTTTAATTTATACTTACCATTGCGTCCTCCACCAAAGTCATTGCCACCGCGATTGGCTCCGCGATCACGAATATCATAGGGCCCTGGGCGTCCTCCGACACCACCGCCGGCGCCTGTGGCCCTTTTCATTTCAGCAATTGAGCTGCGGAAAATCTCAATATACCTACATGGATAAGAGCAGAAAACAATTATATTATAAGAGATGTACTTTAAATATGCTAGGGTCGGTGGCGTTTATTTTTTATGTTTTACTGTTACATATCACGAAATAAAATAATTTAAAATCAGTTATATAAAACTAATGAAAATAACTCTGTGTTCTCGGTTTAATTATTATGTTAGAGTGAGCACATGCTGGCGCTTAAAGAAATATTAAGAGCCCCACCAGACCCGTAGCTATAGGTAATTGTTGCTAAATGGTTTCTCAGTGACTGAAATAGAAATTATTTATGATAAAGTAATTTTTTTTGTTATACATATTTATTTGTGAATAATCTATGGAAAATTGGTGTTGTATTTTCACTTGTGTGTTTCAACAAGTTTGCAATTGATTACCACTTAATGTTTTAATTTCAGCTGTTTGGTTGTAGAAGATATGATGAATTAGAAACCCACCTGTGCCCAATTTTTTCCCGATTTCGGCCCAAGGCTTGCTCAGTGTCGTCCTGGCTTTCGAACTGAACAAAAGCTTCCCCAGTTGCACGACCCCTTCTGTCCATAACAAAAAGTATGCCCTCCCGATCCGTTTTGATTTCCAACCCTGCCCATGACGATAACCAACAAAGATTTATACAAATATATAGATTTCATATATATACATTATGCAAGATTAAGCTTAGATAGAGAAACAGAAATACAGAGGTTGATAAGTGTTATAGTTTGGTTCCTGCATCGCAGGCTTCAGCAAATCAGTTGCTTAAATAAAAAAGGGTCTTGCAGTCGCAGCACGAACTGCAAGCAAGATGGGAAATGTTGCAATCGAGGTGCCCGGACCACAAGTTATTTCAAAACTCAGCTCCTGTAACTCGTAGACGTTGAAAGAAGCTCAGTTAAAAGGAGGGGTAAATAATGATCGTGAATTTAACCAGGTAAACTGGGTTACATATGTGACCAATGAACTAATGATTTATCGGACCAGCGGACGTGACCGCGTCAACGTTCAGCAGTTGACTTTGGAAGGAGCTGCGTGGGGACCGCCGAGTACCCATTACACACAAATGCAAGGGCCTGCAATTTTAGCCCGAAAATATGTTTGGTTGAAGCGCATGTGTAATTGATATGAAAAGTGTAGATGAAGGGGGACCGTAGGCCATATCTCAACGAAGTGCAAAAAGTAAAATACATGCGGTCAACCACTGTCTTTGCTCCATGTTCCTATTAAAGTGGAAAAAGGGACAGAGCAGGGGCACTCACCAGAGAAGAACTCCTCGATTTGCTGTTCGGTGACGGCATAGGGCAGACCCCGGAGCTTCACAACGAAGGCAGTGCCGTGCCCGCTGATCTTACGCATGGCTTCCTTGGCCTCCTTCGGTGTGGCGGTGAAAACTAAAGGAAGGAATATAAATAAGTTTGTTATTAGGGTTCACATACATTTGTCGCCTGTTACTAATCACAGCTGATAGCCCTTAGCAGCACCTCTATATTTTATTTATTATTAACACCTGATTAGAATAGATAATAATAACGTGTATAACCACACAATAAATTAAAGAAACCTACATACAAGGCAATAATAGCTCTACAAAACTAACGTAATTTTAGGTTAATTTGTTCAAGACCCGCCAAAATATCTGAATAATCAAAGAAGTGCAGTTTTGTTTAAATATCATTAAATAAGTTAATAAAAAAGGTGTTCTAATGTAGAAACTAGTAATTTCTGCGACTGTATTATGTATTAGATGGAAAGGTCAATGAACCCATGAGAGTAGTTGATCTAAGTTATCTTCTGGACATGGCAAAACGGTGCACAAACTCCACCGATGTTATAAAAAGACTAAATATATGATATAGACCTATAATTGACTGCCCTGACTAAAACCTAAGTACAGTCAACCCCCGTGGGAACCAAACCAACCCTCAATGTAGCGGTGGCCCATGCTGGCCTTGTTCAGCTTGCGCGCCTCCTCGACGTCCTCCTGACTGGCCACCTCCACGTAGGCCTCGCCGGTGTTCTTGCCGTCGACGCGACTGGTGACCAGGTGGATGCCCGCCGAGCCATTGGTGACGTTCACGTTCTCCAGGAAGTCGAGGATCTCCTTGTGCGTGGCGGACCAGGGAAGACCGCGCAGCCGGACGAACTTGGGGCTCTCGCCGACGTTCTCGATCTTGACGTTGCCATCGCCGTCGAACTGGTCGTCGTCATCCTGCTGCTGGCTGCTGTCGTCGTTGAAGTTTTCGCCATTTCCCTGCTGGCCGTAGTTGAACTGCACGTCTGCGTTGGCCATTTTTTTCGTTTGTTCGCTCGCTCTTTGTCTGCAAATTGTGACAAACCGGATGTATCAATTGTCGGAAGTGGGTGTGGATAGAGTTTATTCGATCGGTTTACTAGTTCAGAGTAGAATAAACTATTAATTTGGAAAGTGCGCTTTTTCAGCCGGTGAATTTTCTTCTCAACTGCGACGCTTGCTGCTTTTTTTGCACCGCGTACGCCATTTTGATTTCTAGTCACCCCCGAAACGCGCATGGCATTTTGCAGGGCTCGTACGTAATGTCTACGTTTGCAAATGACGCGCCTGAAGGCGGTTCGTTTGGTTTACCTTTTTCTGTACTGCAGCAACTTGCTATTTATTCTGTTTGCCTTAATTAAATCGGCTATTCACGCGATTTTTTTCAGAGAGTTTCCTCTTTTTTTTGTAGAGAGCACCAGTGTGGTCGCGCAGTTGTCGAATAATAATACCATCCGGTTCTAGGAAATATACCATTTGTGTTTCTTCAAAATATACCAAATATAGGTGATTCTAAAGTGTGCAAGCCGGTTCACACACCTATCTTTTGGTTTGTGGTTGCTGTCTTGGCTAGGTTGTCATACAAAACTAGCCCATCCCTGGCCAGCGTTGCCACCCCCCACTCAGTTCTGTCATACCAGTGTGAAAAGTAGCAAGAACAAGAAAAGTGAGTCCGAGCTGTTACTTAACCAAATTTTCGCAATTAAATAGCATTTTTTCCGCCCCGAAACGCCAGCATGTTGAGCATCACGGCCCGTAACCTGGCTTGCGCTATGCGCAGCGGCCTCATCGGCACCTCGTCGCGCGTGGCCGCCGTCCGCTGCCTGCACGGCACCGAGGAATCGGCGGAGGAGTTCGACAAGCGCTACGAGAAGTACTTCAGCCGCGAGGGCATCGACGGCTGGGAGATCCGCAAGGGCATGAACGATCTGCTGGGCATGGATCTGGTGCCCAGCCCCAAGGTCATCGAGGCCGGTCTCCGTGCCACCCGTCGCGTCAACGACATCGCCCTGGCCATCAGGTGGCTGGAGGGATGCAAGGACAAGTGCGGCGACCAGAAGGCCACCCTCTATCCCTACTTGCTGGAGAAGATCACTCCTACGCTGCAGGAGCTGGGCATCCCCACCATCGAGGAGCTGGGCTACGACAAGCCCGAGCTGGCCCTGAAGTCCGTGTACGATGCCTAAGCGGAGTACTCTAGTTTAAACCCACACTAAAAATGAGAAAACCCGATACACACGCTACAGCGACACACTAGCTAACACATCCACTGTATGGTGCGGATGAACATGTTGTTGGATTGATAATAAATGGAGATTGGAGTAAGGCTACCACACCAGCACTCGGTTGTTTTGCCCTTTTCGGTTACGTAATGCCCAGGTTAGGGAACTGCATTCCGGCACTCCCAGATAAACAAAGCAATTGATAGCGAATCGTTTATTGTCCGGCCGGTGACTATTTCCACTTGGAGAGCAGCTCGGCTGCCTTGTCCAAGTTCTCCTGCTTTTTGATGAAGCAGTAGCGCACAAAGTTCTCGCCCAGAGGCTTGTTGGGCTCGCTGTAGAAGGCGCTCGGCGGGATGCCCTGCAGGCCCATGTTCTTGGTCATCCACTTGGTGAACTTGTAGTCCCGGTGCTTGTCGGGCTCCGAGCTCAGATCGACCTTGTCCGTGAGCGGCGACCAGTCGGCCAACATGAAGTAGCCGCCCTCGGGAATGGTTGGACGCATGCCTGCCTCGGACAGGAACTTGGCCATGAAGTCGCGCTTCTCCTTCAGCTCGCGCGGCAGACTGAGGAAATAGCTTTCCGGCTGTCCCAGACGCGCCAGTTCCACCTCAAAACTGCGCGCCACGCCCTCTTGCAGAGGCGTGGGACAGGTGTACACCGAGTTCTGGTGCACCATCTGCAGGTTGCGAATCAGGGGGGCGGGTCCGTAGGCCCATCCGATCTTCCAGCCGGTCACTGAGAAGGTCTTGCCAGCGGAACCCAAAGTGATGGTGCGGTCCCACATGCCCGGCAGCGTGCAGATACGGATATGCTCCGCTCCATCGAAGACTAGCCACTCGTACACCTCGTCCGAGACACACAGCACGTTCCACTTGCGGCAGAGCTCGGCAATTCGCTCCAGCTCCTGCCGGTTAAAGACCTTTCCAATGGGGTTGTGGGGAGTGTTCAGAATTATCATCTTGGTTTTGGAGTTGAACAGGCTCTCAAATTCGGCATCGTCCAGCACCCAGTCTGCTGAGCTAATGGGACCATCTGTCTTGCGCTGAAATATGAGCATTTAAGTACAGGATCTAGTTTTTGTTTTTCTATAAGGTTACCTACCAACTTCAGGGGAATAAAGCGTGGCACACCGCCTGCCATCTTGACCATGGGTTCGTAGCAGTCAAAGAAGGGTTCAATGATTATGACCTCATCGTCCACATCTACATGACCCATGATGGTGGAGTAGAGAGCCTCGTAGGCGCCGGAGGTGATGAGGATGTCGCTGAGGGGATTCAGCTGCTGGCCGACGAGACCGCTGTACAGCTTGGAGAGGGCATTGACCAGGCGAACGTGGCCGTAGCCGCGAGTGTACTGATGCAGGAGGGGATTCTCGTCCTTGGCAATGTCTGCCAGCGAGTGAGTCACATACTCGGGGGCAGCATCATCGGGAAATCCCTGACCCAAGTTCAAGGGTTTGTACTGCATAGCCAGAGCAATGTATTCGTTCCAAACACTGGGCGTGCTGCCCTGCAATCGCTGGGGAAGATCGAACTTCTCCATCTTGCTGGCGGTTTGCTGGTGACGAAGGACTTGCAACTGGAACTGATCCCGGAGGCTTCTCTTGGCGGCGGCAAGGGTTAAGCGGCAGCTGCGGAGCATCTGTAAGAAGGTGACTTTAGTAACTGACTGAAAGCGATCCCTTATCACCGCGTGTTTGGATTGTTTATTGTGCGATAAGCACGCACTTTGCCTGTCTGTCTCTCGCTTTGGTATGATCTTAAGTGTTACAATAAAATATCACTGGTTAAATGCAATTCCTGGTCTTAAATGCTGGAGCCCTGCAATGCGCGGTGACGTTGCATAGTGGCACTGAATTGTGATTAGACTAGCGGAATATCTATATGCGATACGATTTTGTTTAAAGCGCTCACGCACACTTGCACAAATTAATATGCAAATAAACAAATACGTGGAAAGTTTATAATGCAAAATCTTAATGGAACTGATATTCACTCAGAAAAGGCTGCAATAAATAAAAACATTGCCAGGTGATCGTTGGAAATATAAACGGTGTCCCAATTTTAATTAGCAGATAAGTTTTCGAGGGGAACTTAATTCCCATCGTGACCTTGACCCCCAAACACGTTAGTAGATATTTCAGAGGATATCTTATTAGGATTATTTTAAATATTTACTACAACTTCCAAAACACCTCTGCTTTTAGCAACAAAACACAACAAACTCACAAAATAAACAAAAAATTGATAATTATTTTATAGGGCGGGAAAACAACTGTTGCCTGCGGCTATCGATATCGAAAACCAGGGCTGGCACCAACAGTCACGCACGAATGTATCGGTCATATCGATTACCAACAGTTTGACAATAGTTATCGAAAATCAAATTCAAAATATATAACCGCCAAAAATAATTTCTCAAAAGTATATTTCAAAGAATCGTCTCATAAAATAGTATTGAATCGTCCTCCCACTTACCAAAAAGAATAACACATCCTCCTCCATTTTTCAAAAGTTTATTTATAAAAAATGCTTGTTAATGGTAGTTAATCAAGGATGAAATCATCGTATAGCTAGTATAATTGACAAATTAATTGATTAATAACATAGTAAGCATCGAAACATTTTACATATCGTTAAGTGTAGAATTATCTGTTATGCTATAAAAGAATTAAAGTTTGTTTTTGACCAATTTCGATTTTAAATGTTCGATCTGCAGAGTTTCAACAAAGTAAAGCTACTAAACTTAAATCACAGATAACACTAAAGTGTTTGTTACGATATATGCATGTATATATATGTGTCTGTTTCTATATATATATGTCACTATATATGTGTGGTCAAATCGGTTGTTACAGGCCCGCTTTGCCTTCTCCTCTCGTACGATTCCTTTGTGTGGAACTCATAGAAAGCATAACTGACTTAAGGTTAAGTTAGAAAACCGCTAAAACTAACGAAATTGTGTGTTGTCTGTGTTATGTGGTTGTGTTGCAGTAATTCTTGTGGCCACATTCCATCCGCTGTTAAATGCAACAATTGGCTTAAGTACTACGAAACAAGAGGCTGGAGTCCTGATTTCGGGTTAGGACTTTAATATGATCCAATTGTTTCCTCAACTGTATCTTCTTACCCTTCCGCTGTGAATGGCACACGTTTTGCGTAACGCGAATGGCAAAAAACTGAAAACTGAGGATATAAGCCCGGTTTCATTTTCATCCTACGCGGATTAAACTTCCCTTTCAAGCTGCTGATTAAGAAATTACATTTTCAATTTAAGAAGTCTAATTGATATCGCAGGAACTCGTATGGGTGTGAACGAATTTTGTGAATGGCATTTTGATTGGATTTGAATTCTAAAACCGGGCTTTATTCCTCCCCCTTCTATATACTTTTGTGTTGATCCTGTGGGTGAAGTACTAAGATGATTCTCCTAAACATGCACCTCCGGGCAGTCCTCGTCCTTGATCGATGTGTACTGCACCTTCTTGGCCACGTTGTCGAACACCGGCGTTATCATGTACTTCAACTTGTCCCGGCTGACGTAGACCAGGGCCACCAGGAGTCCCAGCAGGATCATGCTGAGCACGATCAGCAGGAAGATCAGAGTGGCCGTGTGTCCGCTGATGTGGGCCTCCGATTGGATGGACGCCGCCTCCGCTCCACCATAGCGCTGCTCCTCCTCGGCGGTATTCAGGATCGTGGCAGCGGCGGCCATGGCATCCGCACACTGACCCATGTCCATCTGGAGCAGGTGGGCGGCCGACTTGCCCGACGTGTGGGTGCACGTCAGGCTGTCCTTGTTGCGCACCGTCACCTGGGTGCTGGGTATCCACGTGCGGAACGGGGCGATGCGGCAGTCGCACACGAAGGGATTGAGATTGAAGTCCACAATCAGGTTGGCCGTGCGATTGGGACGCTCTTCCAGTTCGTTGAGCACCCGCAAATCCGTGGGCTTCACAAAGGTGAACTTATTGCGCTCCAGATCGAGGAATCGCAGATTGTTTAGGCAGCGCACCTCGAAGTTAAGGTCACTCAAACCATTATCGCCCAGGTGAAGGTCACGCAGCGAGGGCAGATCACAGAAGACATTGCGATCCTTGAAGTGCGTGATCTCGTTCTGCTCCAGATGGAGCTTCTGCAGCTTCACCAGCTGGCTGTTGACGAAGATGTCGTGCAGATCCTCGCTCAGCTGCGGCGAGCTGTTGTCCTCGAAGGCATCCGTGAGATGCAGACTCTGCAGGTTGATAAAGTTCGAGAAGACGCGCGGATGATGGTGGTTGACCTCGTCCTCGAACCGCGAGATACTCAGATTGTTGTGGTTCAGGATCAGGCGCTCCACGCGCGGCACATGGTGGTAGCTCTTGCCGCGTATCTCGCGGATGTGATTGCTGCTCATGTCCACGATGCGCAGCTGCTTGTAGTTGTTGATGCTCCCGAAGACGTTCCACGGCAGCTCGGTGATCCGGTTGCCCGTGAAGATCAGCACCTCCACCTGGTCGGGCATGAACTCCAGCACACTGGTGTTCACCAGTCCCGCATTCGTGCAGTTCACCACGTACTGAGTTTCACTCTCGTACAACTCGTTGCCGCAGCTGCACGCCGCCGGGAATTTGGGTCCACAGCTGGACGAACTTTCGCCCAGGACTCCTCCGGCTCCAATCGTCAAGGTGATGGTAGCGATAACCACGACCAGGACCAGTCTCTTTAGTTCGGTGGGTGGCATGATTATGGTTAGGGATGCCTGTAAGAAATACAAGAAGGGAAACAACATTATTAAATCAGTATCTTTTGGATTTAACATCATATATTTTATGTTGTAAAGCTAATATATTTATATTGTTTTAATGGAAGATTTACTTTTTATTGCCCTAGTAACTTGTGTTACCAGGAAATCTGATTAGAAATACACCCATTTAAATTGATAATGAAAAAAACGAAGATCGTATGGAAATTTGGTTTCACATTTATTTGAGAAAATTTTTTCTTGATATCAAGAAGAAAGAGCTGTTTTTTTGTTTTTTAAGATTAAGAGATTTGGAAAGAGTCACGAAAAGTCTTCATTTTGATTTTTGAGACGAAAGTAAAATCGAAACTGTCTTTCGAAACGAATTTTTGGATTTTTCCACTTTTAAAATCAATAGAAAGGATACTCTCCGGCAAAACATCATGTATTGCTTCTAAGAAATATCTATTTGCCCTATTTTTGGTGCTGTGTGGAATAGCAAGATGGTTTATTGGCTGCTAATGCATTTTAGAGTGTTTCACAAGGATCAGAAATTTGCTTAGTTGCCCGACCAGCCGCACGGACAGCTTGTTTATGCGCCACAAGTTGCAGATTTATGTGCTTATGAAAACCGGAGCATCGTGCCACACCTCAGAGAAGGAGGGGGTATATTTCCCCACTCCCGCGCTCCTGCTTTCGGCGCCCATTTAAATCGACGGCCCACGCGGCGTATGGGTAATTTCTGTTTAGTGGCAAACTTTTTGGCGTCGGTGGCAGAACAACAGATGCCTGAAGGGCACTCCGGCGAGCTGTGGCATCCGTCCAACCGCAGCAGGAGCAGATTCCGGAGGAGCAGCCGTAAACCTGATTATTTTTCCGCTTTTATTGCTATTTGTTTAGTGTGTGTGTGCGTGTGTGTGTGGGGAGTTTATGAGTGAGAGTTTATGGAAGACCAAGTAAAATATTTAAGCCCGAAAAGGAAACACTTAGTTGAGACACCAAACCGAATTTTAATTTTACCAATATGTATGCTTTCACTTTGGCGGGTTATTAAAAAAATAATTGATGCTTAAAGTTAAATTGGTCTATCACGAACAGAGACATCATTAAACATTTTACTCCAATACCCAAATAGGTCCATCTGAAGCAGAGAAGTCATTAATGGTTCTACTCTTGATGCCTATAAATTAAATGACTGAAAACCACAGAGAATTTATGGGAAAACAATAAAGTGAATGGAATCAACCACTGTAACAATGTGCATAGAAAACTTTTTTGTGAAATCAATTAGTTGGGTGGACTACACACAAAATAACTAGTGGGTAAAATGTACCAATATATTAGTTAAATGGGCCTAAGCCAAAGAATTGTCAATCTTACCAATGACAACAACAAAATACAAACAAATTACTACTATTAAGAACAAAGTATGCGTAACTCTTTTGAATAGTTGTTAACCTTTTTTATAGTTACGTTACTATCTGTATTGGTAACTTTTACCCACAACTTTTTTGTGTGTACTACTACGTTTTTGCTTAAATTTGAGCAGATTGTTGGGAAAAGCTGATGGCTAGTCAGACCCCAAGGATCTGAAAAGCATCCCCGTTTCAAACGAAACAGAATCGACGAAATGAAGCCCCTATCCCGGAATATCCTGAATGGGATCACTGCGTCCATTAATTTCCCTGTCGAGAGGGTGCTCTCAATTGGATGTTTGATGCTCAAAGCGGGCGTTTGACCAAGGGTCACTCGATGCTAATGAGCGCATCAAATTCCTGCCTGGGAAAATTGAAAACTAACTGCGTTTTAATGGGCCCAGCAGGGTGCCGCTTCTGGAGGCCACTCAATTATCTCTGGACTGGCAATTATGTTGCCGTTTTCCCAGAGTGGATTTATGATGGTTTAGTTGGCTAGGCGTATGCAAATGAAATTTACAAATTTTCAAATATTTATCCACCACAAATCGGAAATATTTACCAATTAGTGGAGAGATAAGTGGATTTGGTTGAGAATTTTGTAAATGTTTAGATTTTCCAACACCAGAATTTTCACCCACAAGCGTTTGTTTCTCTTTGTAGGCAAGGTAAAAAATATAAAAGGGCCCAAACAAAGAAGAAAAGCTGCACTGCACTTGAAGCTTCTGTTGAAAGTAAACGCTGTTTGTAGGTATGTGTATACATATGTGTGAGTCACTTCCGGTTTGTCGGACTAACAAGCAGCCACACTTTTTACCCCCCGCCCTTTTACTTTAATTTAAACTTTTATGTCTTTGTTGTTATTTGCTTTGTGTGTTTACTGTTGCAATAACACACACCTACCTACCTTGAACCCCCACCCTCTGTTCCAGCCCCCCTTTCTCCGCCGCCCCTGGCCATTCCACTGCAATAATAAGGCAAACAAACAGCATTTGTTCCTTCTTTACTGCACTCGCTTCGCTTCTCGCTGGAATTTATGCATGCGCGTAAAATAATAATAATACAGAAAAGAAACAGCCACAACTACAGAAACAACAAAGGCAAACAACTACAACAGCAGTGGCATAATATGTATGTAACAAGCGCCAGCAAAATAATAATGGTGAGCATTTTGTGTGTGTCTTTATACCCTCGCGAAAGGTATAATTCACTTAAATGGAACCGTTTGAAGGGACAAAAGGGAAATATATCGGAAAAGGTATTTCTACTTTTAAAGGCGGTCGAGCCAAGGTATATATTTATTACCTATTTCAATCCCATAATATGTTCTCTTATTAGATTTAATACTTTACTCGAACTTTCATTACAATATATATAAAAATTAAAAAAAAAACATTTTTGTTGTTTAATACAGTTGATACATTAAATATATATGGTTTTTATAAGAACATTTTTATAATAGCGATAGATAAAAAATATTTTTTATTTTTTGTATCAAAAAATCATTTAGTTACAATAGTCGGAAAACCCAATGATGTAGACCATTTGGTTACTATTTGGACAACTTTTAAAATTCGAAACGATCTTTAATTATTAATTTTTAATAAGCATTTATTAATTATTATCAGACTGAACTTGTAACATAATATAAATATATATATATTTTTCCTAAGCTATCCATCTATCTATCTTCCATTTCGTATATAAGCTATTCCTTTTGCTATACCATGATCTGTATAGGTACTTTAGGATTCGGTTCCCAAGCAAACGTACCCCCCTGTTTGTTAATATTTTTTCACTTTTTTTACGTGCTTTTCCCTTGCATGACTCCTCCCGCTCTAATTCTCCCTCTGTCCCTCTCGTCTTTTAATTCGTTAGTGGTGAAGTGCCAGGCACTTGGCAGTTGCAATACAAAGAAGGAGCAGGATGGCGAATATGGGGGAGTGGAATTAAAGGTGGTCCCTCAATTTGTAATGCACGATGAGAGCGAGCTTTGGACTCCTGTGTGTGCGTGCATATGTGTGGCTGACTTTGTGTGTTTGCGTGGGTACGATTGTATGGTCTAATTAGAGCATAACTGTATGGTATGGTACCTGGTATACGATGAGATATGGCGGGGTGGTGTCACTAGATCCCAGAGGAAAGTCACTTCTACACCCGAATTCAGCTTATGCCAACTAATGACAGCCAATTTGGTTCGCTTTCGACTATCGCCGCCATTTTCCCTATCAACATCATTTGACATTTGCTAAAAACAAATTGGAATATTTGCATTTTCCGCTTTGGGTTGCCTTTTATCTCGATTTTCGTATGGTATGAATCTTGTTTCTCGTTCTTGAAACGTAATTTAACTAAACTTTAAATTAAATATATAATAAGAATTCATTAAGTTTAAAACCCAAGGTTAAAAACATTCCAACTTCAAATATGATATGATATAGTAACTTTTCCGTTACCAACCAATCCTAAGGTATTGCTCGACTAGCTTAATTACTGCAGGTCTTTCCTCAAGTTTCTCAACGTTTTGCTAAAGCTCTCCTCATTAAATAATCCCCCCCCCCCCCAGTTTAGGATGCCTTTAAAATTGCTGAGCAGATGTCTCCATTATCACAGCTCTCCTCAATCGGATGCTGTGGCCAAGGCTCTTACCGTTTTTCGCACTGAAAGGCGATGCCACGCCCCCTCTTTTGGGGATGGGGGATGGCAAAGGGGTGGTATGGGATGTCCTTGGGAGTTTCGCCAGTCAAATTTTATTGTTGGCAAAACTCGGTGCATACTTTCGGGCAACACTTGCGAATGAAAAGCTCTTCAGAGTGAATTTCGCAGCTGCAACTCGCATCCAACTGGGTAAATGGGTGAAAGTGGGGGGAGGAACTGGGAGGACCAGGAGAAGCTGGAGGATCAGGAGCCGGAGGAGGAGCTCTAGGTGCCGGTGAAGTGCTGCTCGCCTCGCTGTGCCAACTGCATTACGGAAATCCTAATGCGGCCAACAAGCGTTTAATGTCCTGCCCGGCAGTCATTAAGCGGGAGTGAGAAATGTTGAAATGTTTAAAAGCTTTTCGCCAACTCCGGCTTTAGGACCTCCTCCACTGCCAGCAGCCAAAAATGGCCAACTAACTGTTCTTGGGCTGGCAATAAATTCCAGCGGGTTGCCCTGCAGTTTTTAAGTAGGCAACGTGCCCTCCAGTGAGAAAACACTAATCTAACATCAAGTATATCGAGGCGTAGCTGCAATAAACTTCAGTGAACTTGGGGAAATTATTCGACGAGGTTTTTGTGTAGTGAAATATGGGTTTTCAAACTTTATATCCATAAATCGTTTAAGAAAGTTCAGATTTTGCCAAGGCAAAAAGCAAGTACTAATGGTACCTTAGGTGGAGTGAGATTATAAGATTATTATGGTAGTTTTGAAAAATATATCTCTAAAATAATTAGTTTTCCAAATAATACATATTTACTGTAGTAAACACTATAGTCGTACTTAAGTGGATGTCACTTTATTCTCAATTTCGAGTGGTACGCTTTATATATATAGATGGTAAACTGCTAAATCAAAGCTGTAAAATGTGAAAAGCTGTTCTGATTTCTGCCTTCTGATCTGTC